CGACTTGAGCGATGCTAATAAGAGCTGGAGGTCAACTGGCACCTGCCCACGGGGGTAAAGATTCCCATCAAGTACTCAGGAACATAGTCTGAAGCAAGTACTTAGTACTTAAGTACCTAGAGCACCACAAATCCTTCATCTGGTACCAGACGCAGTACTCAACCGCGCTGCGCTGTACAATTTTAGAACCCACATGCAGCCACCATGCTGAAGGACTGAAGTCAAGTACCTACTAGGTAGGTACCTTGCCCTGCATGCCTGGCAGCAGAGTACTTATACCCAAGTACTTACTTAATCCTGAGCCGACCGCCTCCCACCAACGAACGGACACCTGGAGGAGCCCTTGCAGCAGCCAGACGCATGTGCCAACTCGTAAAACAAGGGAGCATTGAATCGACCAGACATGGACCCATCTGCCATGTCGACACTCGCAGGCGCCCCATGACCGCTCACGCAAGACGGCCAATCGTCCAGTCGACGAGATGCTACTCCGTACAAGAGTAGAGAGAGTGAAGTGTGCCGTGCGAAGCAAAGAGAAAAAAATTGGGCAATTGCGAAGGCGAGGCAAGGTGCGTGCAGGATCGATGCGGCCGATTCCGGTGGCTGACCGAGCACCAGCTAGCCCTACCTGAGAATTGGCAGCCCTTCATACGGACAATGTTGTACAAGATCTCGCTTCGAATCAGGGCTGTGACCTCTGCTCTGTCCCGGTGTATCAACGTTATTAGGATCATCAAATGTACGCGCAAGCTCTTGGCAACTCTCCCCATGGTCCGTGGCACCGCCCTTCTTATTAATACGAGCAACGCCTTTGTTGCATATTTTCCAGAGCCGACCACTGACCAGGTCGCGCGGCGCACGCTTTCACATACTCTGGCCGAAGCAGTCCGAACCGGTTCGCTACTGAAATCAACCAAGCATCTGCAGGTGGTGTCACAATCTCAGGACACACAGATGCTTCAGACTCGGGGCCCAGGCCAATGCCGAGCAAAGATGGTGGTGGCATTGATCCCAAAATAACCCACCCGTTTACGGTGGCCACTGAGCATCTCACCACGACATACATATAATATCAAGCTAGGTTTGTACGTACCAGCGTCCATGATGCCGATTCCTAGACTACCTAGGTGCTTCCAACCTTCCCCTCTTCATCTCCTCCCTCCCATCCAGACTTTGGTGTGTCAGTTGAATGATAAAATCCACCACGTTCGACCGCAGGTGAAGCTGAAAGTAACTAGCCAGTTGGATGTTTCGATTTGAGCATGATGCCGTGTTTCATGTTGCAACTCCAGAAACATGCTTGTGGGGACCCCAAAGCTCGATAGTACCAACTTGACACTAACACGCCTAGCCTAACCAACTGTTGCTGCTTCTAATGTAAGGGGCGCCCGAGGAATTCGACTTCATATCTTGAGATTGTTTCGGGACCAGCGGGTGCTAGGTGTTAGTTAAGGGCAACATGTCACGGCTCAAAGCCACTGCTTCTGCAAGATTATGCTGAACTTTGGCCGAATCTCTTAGCTTCGCCGAAAGATTTGGTCATGTAACTGGCACGCAATGTCCCACAACATTATAATACTTTGGAGTAATAGATAAGCAAGGAGTTTCTTTTCCCCCATCAGGATATCTGGTCGCGCCTCCCAGCCATGTATGCCCTGCGATGACGCCCTACGTCCACAACCAGCGGCTCCAAAAGGTAGTGAAACACTTCCGGCAGAACCAAGAATCTTATTGGAATGCGGTAAAATGGGGACAGATCATGACAGATAGGCCGCCGTTTGGCTTTCTCGAAAGAAAACGGCACATTTTCCCCAGCACCGACCCAGTAGTCTAGTACAGGCACATCCACCTTATAAGGTATTCAGTATCCAACTCTTACTTTTGCCTGCCTAAATCAATGAGTTTGTCAACGAGCACGGCACATAGATCTATTAGCCTGAACGTGAGAAGCTAGCCGGTCAACTAGAACCTGTCCTTCTTGATCAGTTGAAAGTTGTCACTTCCGATATTCAGCTTCAAGAAAGACGTCAATTTCGTAACTAGATGAATTCATAAAGGGACCTGTCTACTCTTCAACTCAATCCAGAGCCACATCTCGTTAGAGATTTACTATGCGGAACATGTAAGAATATGCGCAACATGCTGGCTAAAAGAGACTAGACGACATCTGGGAGAGACCTGGAGAGAGAGTTAGGGGAACTTACCTGCCTAGTAGGTAACCTAGGCATCTGGTCTCTTATTTATAGCGACATCAAGGACTTGCATCAACACAGACTCTTCGCAAGCTAAGATGCCTGCTGTTGTGTGGTATCTGGTCATGTTCTCATTTGGTAGCTATGTTCGCGCGTAGGGTGTTTAGGCTACTATCCCAGGATTTTTAAAATAAGGAATAGGTAGAGCCATAGATGCCGCAGCCAAGAGAGAGCCTTGTATTTGAAGATAAATTTCAGTATCAATAAGTATATGCTAAGCCTGTACGGTAATTAATTAATAGAGTTCAAGTCCCGCATCACGATATCATTACTTGGAACTGATGAATTGAGTGTTAGCAGCCGCATTTGGCTCAGGAGAACAAAATAAAAGATGCAAAGTCCGTGAAGGAAGTAAAGAAAATAAAATCACATGCGTTGCTGAAGAACTGGGGCCATCTGGATGGCGACGAGGAAGGCGCAGGTCTAATACCAGGCAGCAATGAGCATGCGCTCTACTCCTCCTGCCACCTGGCGTCGCGCTTCAAACCCCGCCTCACTTACATGGCATCACTTGAACACATCACACATCAACACACAAGCAGCACCGGCAAACCACGTCACCAACAAACCAGCACACTCAGCCTACCATGCCTGCCGAAGGAGTCTGGATTTCCCCCACCGGCCGCAAATCATTTATCCCCCTTGAAAACAACCCCGAAGTCTTCACCAGCCTCGTCCATGATCTCGGCGTGTCCCCCGACCTTGGCTTCTACGATGTCTACAGCCTCGATGAGCCGTATCTCCTCTCACACATCCCGCGCCCAGTGTACTCCCTCATATTCATAGCGCCCAGCGACATGCAAACGGCTGTCCGCCAAGAAGACGGGCTTCCCAAGTCCGTCACCAACGGCAGCCTCACGTATGACAAGAGCGGCCCAGACGAGCCCGTGGTTTGGTTCCTGCAAACAATCAGCAACGCCTGCGGGCTATACGCCTTGGTTCACTCGGTAGCGAACGGGGAGGCGAGTCAGTTTGTGAGCAAGGGCTCCGTGTTGGACAAGGTGATTGAGACGGGGTTGCCGCTGAAGCCCCAGGAGCGAGCAAAGAGCTTTTATGACAATCAGGAACTAGAGGAGGCGCACATGCGGGCGGCGAGGCTTGGCAGCTCTGAAGCACCGCCAGCGGAGGTTCATGCAGGACACCACTTTATTGCCTTTGTGAAAGGCAAGGATGGTCATCTCTGGGAGTTGGAGGGCACCGCGGATGGTCCGATTGACCGCGGAGCCCTAGAAAGTGACAATGACATGTTGAGTGAGAGGGCCTTGGAGCAGGGCGTGAGGAGGTTTATGAAGTTTGGCGAGGGAAACGTCAACTTTAGTATTGTAGCTTTGGCCAAGAAACAGTAAGGCGCATTGGGGCGCTGTGGCCAAAGTTATAACTTATTACTACCTTTTTGAGGTTCTCTAAACATTGCCACATGTCATTCAAAGCCTAGAGTTGAAATTCTATGCCCCCCTGTGTCATGATTAGTTCAACTGAAGTTTTTCAGTCGATACATCATGGTTCATTGTTAGCACCTCACACACTGGGACCGTTTCTGTTGCTAACCCTTTCTTCTCCAGTATCGGCATGTGTTTCAGCGCAGAAATCGCCCATTCGCGTCCGTCAGCCGTGGCTTCACCACTTCTGAGAATAGTTTCAATTTTGTACTTCCAACTTCTCCATAAGCCGATGGAGAATTGCGTTACTCTCGGCCAGCCGTGCATTCTGGGAATGACGGACTCACCTCTGCTAACCTCCCACACCCATCTCTTAAATCTTCCAAATTTATCATCATTCCACAAACAGCCAAAGTCTATCTCTATAGAATATCCAACCATGAGAGGAATCCTGTATCGAGGCAATTTCCATAATTCTTGTATAAACTTCACAACCTGGTCCTGGCCTGCATGATTCGACGGCGCTCGCATTGAAATCAAGGTCACACTCATCCATAGGAGGCTTATTAAAGTGTCTGGATTCGGCCGTCGAATCGTCCCATTCTCAAGTTGCTGTGGCGTTGGGTTTTGAATCTTTTTGCACACTTTGAAACATTCTTCCAGGTCGGCTAGAATAGACTCATCGACAATTTCGGCAGCGTAAATTGGGAGCATGTAGCCATTCACCATATCTTCTAACGCGCAATTAATTTTAAATTCGGCTGGCGAATCTTTAGGGTCGCAGAGTCGTAGGTCAATGTACCGAGACATGTTGTAAATGAGCTAGCCGACAAGGTATTGTAAAAGGCAGGCGTGTGACGACAACCAGACGTACTAGCCAAAGATATAATGGCTCTTTTGTGTCCCGACAAACACCAAAGGTAGGAGAATATCTCAAAAAAAAAAAAATTTCCCAAAAATGAAGCCTGTGAGATAAGAAGCAAATACGTGTTCTAAAAACAGCACTCCAGGACAATATCTCTTTAGAAAAGGATCATCTGGACATCTTCTTCACTGACATGCTCGGCACATAATCACACGAAGCAGGCAGATTGCTCCTTCCTCGGCACTTTTTGGTGGGGCAATCGCAATCCACGCCTGTCTAACGTGTAGCGCCTCCCCTTCCCTCCCCAAGTGTAGTGGTGGCCCTGGTGGGTACCATACCAAACAGGTCGCATGTCACCGCGTCAGGCATCAAACCTCAACTGCTAATTACTGCATGCTTTGACGCCCATTGCTCCTTCCGCGGAGTCTCCCGCTCTGCCCTATCAAGGTATTCGACTGACTCCTGTGGAGACTATCGTATGGCTTCAGTACTCTCTACGCCAGAATGGACAGCTCTCAGGCACCATTAATGGCGGACAACCGCGAAGGGGACGATGTGGAGGCTGAAGAGGACAACGTCCACGAGGGACGCCTCACCAAAGACGTGGATGCGAATCCTGGTATCTTTGTCGTGGCACTGACCATTGCAGCAGGAATCAGTGGGCTTCTTTTTGGATGTAAGCCAAATCCGCAAGAATACGTGAGATGCAACTTGACTCTATTCTAACCGCGTATTCTAGACGATACAGGTGTTATATCTGCTACGCTAGTGTCAATCGGAACATCCTTGTCTAACCGCGAGCTGACATCTATGGACAAGTCTATCATTACATCTTCAACGTCGCTCTTTGCTCTCCTCATCTCGCCCTTTTCTTCCGTGCTTGCCGACCGCCTTGGCCGCAAACGAGTTGTACTATACGCCGATATTCTGTTCATCCTTGGAGCCGTTCTCCAGGCGATATGCTTCACTGTGCCTGTCATGATTGCCGGACGCTGCATCATAGGAGCAGGTGTTGGAGCGGCAAGCTTTGTGGTGCCGTTATATATCGCAGAGCTGGCTCCGGCGTCGCATCGAGGGAGGCTTGTCACAGCAACAGTCTTGTTCATCACACTGGGACAAATGGTTGCTTATGTTGTCGGGTGGGCATTCTCAGCATATGGCTCCAAGGAGACGGGTTGGCGGTGGATGGTCGGACTTGGTGCTTTGCCCGCTGGATTTCAAGCTGCCATTGTCGTCTTCATGCCAGAGACACCTCGTTGGCTTGTCAAGGCGGGCAAGCCAGCACAAGCCAAGACCATCATTCAGCGAGTCAATGGCGGAGCAGGGACTGTGGAAGACGCAAGCGCGGTAATCAAGGAGATTGAAATAGAAATTCGCGAGGAAGAGAATCTTGGACGACGTCGAGACCAGCAGTCTACAAGATGGAAGTGGCTTGGAGCCTGGCGGGATCTATTTGGTGAAGGGAAGAACCAACGAGCCTTGGCAATTGCATGTTTGCTGCAAGGCCTGCAGCAGCTGTGTGGATTTGTACGTACACGAAAATGCAGAACGGCACTTGAATTTGTTTTCGGAAAACATTACTGACAGATGACGCAGAATTCTCTCATGTACTTTTCGGCCACCATCTTTACTGCTGTTGGCTTCAGCAGTCCAACATTAACATCACTGACTGTCGCAGTCACCAACTTCGTGTTCACATTGGTGGCACTGGGACTCGTTGATCGAATAGGAAGACGGCGAGTCTTGCTGTATTCCATACCGTTTATGATTTTGGGCTTAGTATGCACGGCGGTTGGGTTCTCTTTTCTTCCGTCTGGCGTCACAAATTCTCAAACTCAGCCTCAGTCAGAGTCCGGTAGTCAATGGGCAGCATACGTGATACTGATCAGTATCATGCTCTATGTAGCCTCATATGGAATCGGATTGGGAAATGTGCCCTGGATGCAGAGTGAGCTGTTCCCTTTGTCGGTCAGATCACTGGGAAGTGGCATCGCAACTGCGACGAATTGGAGCGCCAACTTTATTATTGGGCTGACTTTTCTACCACTGATGGATGCTCTCAGCCCTTCGTGGACGTTTGTTTTGTATGCGCTAGTATGTGGGATTGGATACGCATTGGTTTGGCAGATATATCCAGAGACAGCGGGCCTGAGCCTTGAAGAAGCCACTGCATTGCTAGAGCGAGGATGGGGTGTTTGATATATTGGATGTTGAATATTCTGAGCCTGCACAGGGGTGGCCGTCAAGTACATGGGTAGGAAGCCGGCCGGATATTCTGCGACCTTGTAAGATAGAGTAGAAGCCATATATGACGGTAATGCAGGCTTATTATTGATCAATAGAAGCAGGCCATGTAGCGTTGCATTGTGACTCGGGTATCCCGCGGCCTGTAGTGCCAGAAGTGGTGCTGGAGTGGCAGGGTTATAGTATCACAGAAAGGGAGGAAAGGTACTTGCAGGTTGTTGTAAAAAACGTGTGCAAATCAAGGGGAGCGTCGGGTCTTTGGCGTCTTTGCGCCAGCCGAGCAACTTTAAATTAAGCCGCCTGTGAACACCAGTTCATCACCAATTGGCACAGGCCTATTAATCCCATGTCAGCATGTGCAGAGTCTCACGAGAACCCGGCTGGTTTTAACGCTCAAGTATTTTTGCATGGCTCCACGAACATGGGCCACGGCAGATCAGATAAAGCCGATGGCCGATGCTTTATAATAATTACGTCGTTATGCAGATGGGCCGGCGAGTGCGGGAGAAGAAACCACGGAATTTCCCTGCTGTTTGTTATGCGCACTATGCCGTACTGTGGCTTATTCAGCGACGCTCGTGGCTGGGCGAATTTGCATCGGCGTCAAAATGCCGAACGCAGCCCCGGTTGCGGAGGTGATTGGTGCAAATTTCCGCGCGAGGCCCTCGCTGTTGGACTGGTTTACGGCCGTTATGTCCACGGCCCATTTTTCCAGTGTTTTTCGGTGGCTTGCTGCGGGCAAGACGGAGCAGCACCGGACATTCGCTCTCTTCAACGGGCATTGGCATGGTGCTTCTCGGTGCTCTGTAAGCATTGTGCATTTTGGTGACTTGCTATCCGTCCAATTCATATTCTTAAATATTTGGGGCACCCGCCCCTGGCCCGTACCAGCCAAGTTTATTTGATTCCCCCAAGACTAATAACTACCTAAGTAGGTAATAACATTGAACCATTTCCGACCTGATCCCGAATTGACTGGTTGCCCCACCAGCGACTAGCGAACTACGACCTTCTCATCATTGAGCCATCAGGAATAGAGAAAAGCTTAGCTTCCTTTCACCTGCCATCTCTTCCCCTGGGCGACGCCATCTTTTTCTTTTCCTTCAACACTCCCCCTCCCTTTCATTTTTTTTTAAATATTTTTTTTAATCCATTGTTTCTACCGGCGCTTCTCCTGAACCAGTTCAACGGGAACCTCGGGACTGTGGATCTTGACGCCAAAAATCAAGCGACATCAATTCAGCCACCAACGTAACAACATTCCATCCATACCGGCAACAACTTTTTAGAAAAATAATAAAAAAAAACCACCACAAGGCCACCATGCCGATGGACATAGTGGACCGAGAGCTCGCCGACGCAGAAGCCGACGCCTCGCCAGAGCGTTATCGGCGACGGGCTAGCGATGAAATCGAGCGCGTCCTGTCCGCCTCATCGGCCTCTACATCCTCGGAGTCCAACGACGGCGATGGTGTCTTCCGACGGAACATGAGCCGCGTCTCGACGCAGAATGACCTCGAGCGTCACCCCACAGAACTAAGCCGGATTGCCACCGCGCGCAGTCAGCATAATATTACCGTGGGAGGAGGTCTGCGTAGTCGCACCGTGAGCAGGGCCTCGAAGAAACCGCTGCCAGCATTCGGTGCGGGAAAGCCGTATCCGCCGCCGTTGCCAGAGCGAGAAGAGTACGTCGTCGAGTTTGACGGGCCTACCGATCCGTTGCATTCGCAGAACTGGCCTATGCGGAAAAAGGTCTTGACCGCAGCCATGCTGAGCTATACGACGCTCACATCGGCCTTTACATCGTCCATCTTCTCTGCAGCCACGGAAGTGGCAGCCACAACTTCCGTGGCTGCAGAGTATCACGTCGGATCCGAGGTCGGCCTGTTGGGAACGACGTTTTATGTCCTTGGTTTTGCCTTTGGTCCTACCCTGTGGGCTCCCATGTCTGAGTTGCGCGGCCGACGACTCCCCATTGTGGTGTCCATGTTTGGATTCTCGCTCTTCTCGATTGCTTGCGCGACGGGCAAGGACATCCAAACCATTCTCATTTGTCGATTCTTCTCGGGCTTGTTCGGCGCTTGTCCGCTCGCCGTCGTTGCCGCCGTCTTCTCAGACATGTTTGACAACAGGACGCGAGGTATTGCCGTCACCATCTTCTCCATGGCCACCTTTACAGGGCCCCTCCTGGCCCCCTTCATTGGCGGCTTCATCGTGTCGTCGCACCTTGGCTGGCGATGGACAGAGTACCTCGCTTCCATCATGGGGTTTGTCGCCTTCATCCTCGACCTGTTCTTCCTAGAAGAGACGTACCCGCCCGTCATCTTGATCGACAAGGCTGCCGATTTGCGACGACGCACCAAGAACTGGGGCATCCACGCCAAGCAGGAAGAAATCGAAGTCGACTTTAAGGAGCTCATTCAGAAGAACTTGTCTCGTCCCATGCGTCTCCTCTTTACCGAACCCATCATTCTCGCCCTATCCATCTACATGAGTTTTATTTATGGCATCTTGTATCTCTTCCTTACCGCCTATCCGCTCGTCTTTGTTGGTGTTCACGGCTTCAACCCTGGACAGAGCGGTCTCACCTTCTTTGGTATGATTACCGGACAGCTCCTGGCTGGTGCCGCTGTTATCCTGCAGCAGCCCTGGTATAATCGCAAATTGGCGGGGAACAATGGCATTCCTGTGCCCGAGTGGCGATTGCCAAGCATGATGGCCGGAGGCATTTCCTTTACTATTGGTATCTTCTGGTTCGGGTGGTAAGCAACAGCTCTCGCCCCTCTCCCCTTTCCCTCTCCCCTTTCCCCTTTCCCGACAGCACAAAAAATCAAATCAAAGCTAACAATCATGGGTGTAGGACTGGATTCTCCAGCAACATCCCCTGGATTGTCCCCGCCCTCAGCGGCATCTTCACCGGCTTCGGCCTCATGTCCATCTTCCTCCAAGCCCTCAATTACCTTGTTGACGCATACCTCATGTTCGCTGCCTCCGCCATTGCCGGCAACACATTCTTGCGATCTCTCGCAGGTGCCGGTTTCCCACTTTTTGCCCGCCAGATGTTTCAAGGAATGGGCATTCAGTGGGCGGCTACGCTGCTTGGTTGTGTGGCCCTGGTGTTGGCCCCTATGCCCTTTATTTTCTACAAGTACGGCAGCAAGATTCGCGCCAAGAGTGCGTACGCGCCTACTTTTGCGGCGCCGGCTATGAAGAGCAGCGACGACGAGACAGGCGACTCGTCAACAGAAAAGGAGGGCGAGAATCATGCCGCATTGGCCAGCGCACCTAGGAAGGAGAGCGAAAATGGAGTCTTGCAGAATGCTTAATCGAGCTCATCATGCCAAACCGTGTGCGGGAGGAGGTTTCATTTGCTATATCGATTCCCCAGGTGTGCATGGCGTTATGATCAATGCCCGGGAAATTTAATCTTGTTTGAATATCAAGGGGATTTCGAGTTTTTTTGGGGGGCCGATGTTAAAAAAATAACCGCATCACGGGCTTCCGCCATGCAAGTGGCAGGCATAGCGCCGAAAATCACTTGTTCACAATGAAGGGCTACATGTATACCTATCTAGCTGCATGATCGCATTATACCAGCGGGTGCTGCAGGGCCTCATTGCTTTTGCGGCTGACCGCGCTTGCTATTTAATAGACTACTTGGAAAATAAAGTTTCAAATACTACCACATATCCGAGCCTTACAAACGCGTACCTGCTGGCCTTTGGGACACGCCTGGACAATTGGCGATGTCGATTCGGACAGGCTCATCTGCAGTCGCATTTGAAAGAGTGAAACACAATAGTAGGGAGTAGTGGTTAAATTTCCTTGGTTTTGCGCAGCTGTTATTATGTAGTTACCTGAGTATGCCATCAGCCTCGGATAAGTAGTTACAGAGTACGGAGCGCTTCATCCGGCATTTCAGAGTCGTCGACGCCACTTAGGTATGCACCTCAGCTTTTCCAGGATATTTACAGCTGAAGGCTTAGATTTTGTGGGGGAAAGGCTTGGCAATTCTGCAGGACTTGTTTTATCAAGCTAAACAAGGCAGACAATTGAGATCCCATCTGCCATCTGCCCATCTCTCAATCTCTGGGTTGTGAGCTTGTTTGCGTGGCCCCACAGGAGCTTATTCGCTTGTGCGGCGGCAGGTGCAGATCGATTCCCACCTTCGTAACTGCCCCCCAGCCAAATACGTCATAGATGACTTGATGACGGGTCATAGCCATCGTGACGGTGCTACCACAAACAAGACGTATTAATCGGCCAAGGCTGGCGCCTGGAAAAAAGATGTGCATTTATTCCTTGTTCTGCTTAAACGGCGTCAAATACAGAAACACCGGCACATACGTCTGCTGCGTCTGGTGCTTAGCCTACTAATAAGACGACTTACACGGAGCCTCAGGAGTCAGCACAACTCTATAACGAGACGCAAGGATTACGCACGTCGCGTATTGCCGACTACACCTCACCATCAGGCATTGGATCGTGTAAGGCGGGAAATCAGAAGCAGCTGAAACAATCATGAACGTCGACGATCACGTCATGCCTTCGGGCCAACATTACAGCGCGAGCAATCGCGTCCCTAATATCCAGCAATTTATGGACCAGCTTGATGCAGAAAAGAAGGAGAGAGATGCCGCCATAGACTCCCAGCTAAAGGCAAACAGGTTGCACAAAGAAGTTGAAGCCCATACTGGCTCTGAGAAACCACTAAGGAAAGACTTGCGAACCGTACGAGACCCTGTCACAGGCAAAGATGTTCAGATTCGGGACGCGAAGACGGATTTCAAAGAAGCCGTTGAAAACCCCCAGGTAAGCGCAACGCACTTGAGAAATTGCTTCTGGCGGCAACCGTCTCTGACTTTGGATTGAATTAGTTGTCCATTCCCAATGAGAATTTGGGCAAGGAGGCCACCATTGCTACGTCCTCAACGCAGTCCGGCGAGGAGTACCGGTATGCGCAGGATGTCACCGCCCCCCCGGATCCTGTTCAAGAAGGTTCCACTTCCGACGTGCCGATAAGGAGCGAGAAAACATCCGTTCTATTCTACAAGACACCCTCCGTCAGCTACGAGCCCATGTTTGCCACGTTGGAAAGGAAAGGCAACGTGCTGTGCGCCGGCATCTTCGTCTCTGTCATCGTTGTTGGCAAGTTCTTCGGCGGACGGCTGCTGGGCCTTGTTCCCCTGGGCTTTTGCATTGCCTCGGGCGTGTTCCTGTGGATAAAGGATCTCATTCGCCAAGGGCGGGATCTTGAGTGGTCTAGCGAGCAAGAACGAGGCGAGACTGCGACTGTCAACCTCATCCCAGAATCTGTGGAATGGATGAATACCATGATTGGGCTCATGTGGGGGTTGATTAACCCCGAGATGTTTGCCTCTGTTGCTGACACGTTCGTACAAGATGATGGCCCCCTTTGAATGTAACGTTCTCTGCGTTGCTAATAGACCACTAATAGGTTGGAGGACGTCATGCAAGCCTCTGTCCCGGGCATCGTGGAAAATGTGCGAGTCGCCGATATCTCCCAAGGCAGCAATCCAATCCGGATTCTCAACATGCGAGCTTTGCCAGATAGTCATGTAAAGGATATCAAGGACGAAATCCACAAGGAAAACAAGAAGAAAATGGACAAAGACGAACTCGCTGCAATTGAGCACGCTGGGGAATTTTACAACATGGAAGTGTCCATTGCATACCACGCCAGGCCTTCGGGCGAGGATGTTGCATCAAAGGCCAAGAACATGGGCATGCAGCTTGTCTTCTACCTCGGCATCAAGGGTCTGTTTGGCGTTCCCCTTCCCATTTGGGTCGAGCTCGTTGGTCTCGTTGCCACTGCTCGCATCCGATGCCAGTTAACTCCCGACCCGCCATTCTTGAAGACTGTGTCCTTCACGCTGATGGGGGTCCCTCACGTCCAGGCTGGCTGTACGCCCATGATTGAAAAGGGTGTCAACATCTTGAACCTCCCCTTGATCTCCAATTTTGTGAACTGGGCCATCGGTGCTGCAGCATCCATGTATGTGGCGCCAAAGAGTATGACGCTTGACATGAGCAAAATGTTGCAAGGCGATGACATTAAGAAAGAGACCCAAGCGCTGGGAGTCATGTTCATCCGAATTCATAAAGCTACTGGACTCAGCAAACAAGATCAGAGAGGTAGCAAAGGCGGCGGTTCTGACCCGTACATCACCGTCAGCTGGAGCAAGTTTGGGAAACCTCAGTTTTGCACCCGCGTCATCCAAGATGACCTCAATCCTGTCTTTGAGGAAACATGCGGCCTTCTGGTGACCAGTGACCTCATCAAGGCAGATGAACAGCTATCAATGGAGCTCTGGGACAGCGACCGATCTTCAGCTGATGATGTTGTTGGCAAGGTAGAACTCAGCATTCAAAAGCTCATCCAGCATCCTGGAAAGATGTTCCCCCAGATTTCAAAGCTTCGTGGAGTCAAGGCCGACAGCACTATGCCGGGTGAACTTCACTGGGAAGTTGGCTTCTTCGGCAAGACGCAGTTCCGCAAGGCTCTTCGTACCCACGGAAAGGACTTGAAGCTGCCCAAGGAACTCGTCGATAAGGCCGAATTTCAGGAGGAAAAGGGTACCATCACCAACGAACAAGAGGATGCCGTTGTGCATACTCCTCCTGATCCTCTCTGGCCTTCGGGTATCCTTAGCGTCGTCGTCCACCAAATCGTCGGCCTCGAGCTTGCTAATATCAAGGGGTCGGATGGGAAGCGCAAAGGCAAGGAGTACGAGCCTGCTCGACCCGAGGCGGGTGAGGTAAAGGAAGAGCAAAGTCGAAAACTCCCCAGTTCGTATTGCACTATTCTTGTTAATGATGATTTGGTATACAAGACACGTGTAAAGGTGGTGTCATCTCAGCCCATCTTCAACGCTGGTACAGAGAAGTTTATCCGAGACTGGAGGTCTAGCGTGGTCACTGTTTCGGTGCGAGATTCTCGTAATCGTCAGCACGACCCCTTGATTGGCGTCGTGCCGCTAAAGCTGTCAGACATCTTGCAGACGAGTAGTGAATCAACCCGATGGTACCCCCTTGACGGAGGCATTGGGTTCGGCCGTATCCGAATTTCTATCCTCTTCCGCTCAGTTGAACTCAGGCTTCCACCCCCTCAGCTCGGTTGGGATATTGGAACCTTTGAGTTCCTGTCCGAAGCGATTACAACGACTGGATACGCTCCCGTTTCCAAGGTCAAGCTCAGGCTGAGAACCGGAGGGTCCTCCGCAAGTGTTAAGCGACAGTTTTCCACAAGGGACGCTGATGGCCTCAAGATTGATATTTCTGGCAGTCAGGATGGCAAGATCATGCGTCTCCCGGTTCGCCATCGATACAGATCGCCAATTTTCATTGAATTTTATCCAGCGGGGAGCCGACACGCAGATGCCTACGCCGCCTTGTGGCTGCTGGAGCTTGTGGACGGCGAAGAAAGGGACTTTGATGTGCCGATTTTCAAGTGTGACAACAGCGTCCGCCTTTCGCAGAACTACATCACCCAGGAGAACTACAGGGAGATTCCAGATACGTACATCGAACAAGTCGGCAGAGTCAAGTTCAGGGGCCGCTTTTCCGCAGGCACAGATTCTGACCACATCCGGTTTGTCAGCGACAACGACTCCAGGGAGACAATCGAAAGCTGGGAGGCCTGTTACGCGGAGGGCGTCAGACAACAGGAAGTCCGCGCCGAGGTGCCCCCGCTTGTGCAAAAGCTGCACGACCAGTCGCTCACCCAGGGCCGTGATGTCCTCGCGCAGGCCGACGACAAGGAGAAGGAGAGGTGGATGGCCAAGGATGGCACCGACTGGAGCGGAGCGTTCGGACAAGACCCAAAGCAGCTTATGGCTCGACGAGCTGAGGATCAAGGAGACGGTGAAGAGTACGATGACTTTGATGAGGATGGGGATTATGACGATAACGATGACGACGACGACGACGACGATAATCCCAACCTTGGTATCCACGACGCGGCATCAGAGCCGTCTCACCCGTCTGAGGGCAGTGATGCTGCCCGTCAGTCCATGGACACGGATATCACGAGTGGTAGCGGCGCCTCCCAGACGGGTAGCAGCAAGAATCCGTACAAGACTTACAAGGATTACAAGGGCCATAGCAGGGATTTGCATCGCAAGCACAGAGGCTTGATGCAGTGGCGTCCGATGCGCAACGTCCAGTTTGCCAAAGACGAGGCCAAGTTTGCCTTGAGAAAAGTCACTAAGCTCGGGGCACTTGATGGTCGTGAACCGGATGTGGAAACCGAAGTCTGAGTGAAATGGAAGCGGGCAATGTACTCTGATGATTTATGATTTCTCACGGTTACACGCCTTGTTAGGCCTGTGTACGTCGGCGATGGTTGTGTGTAGTACTAGTACTATTTTTTACCAAAATTCGAATACGAGACTGCATGGTAAACAAGATGGTACTATTGGAGAACAGAAATAAACAAATGCGACGTGACGTGAATCATTATGGAGCCGTCTGCAGCCCCACGTCAATTCGTACAGACAGATGCCGCTTCTCCGTCGATATTCAGCGGCCTATAATTAGAACTTCTCTACATATGGCCTGATATCTAATTCGTGAGTAAACGCGGACCTTGGCTGCGTGTGCAAATGCCAGTAACTTTCAGCAATCTAAAAGCAGTCAACATCACCCGTCGTCCCAGAGCCACGGTTCACTTACAGCCTCGGCAGCAATCTTCCCATCCTCCACACCATTGTTGGCCGTACGTTCCTTGCCCCAGGGGGTATCGATAACGCCGTCGATAATGGCCAGAGCGACATGCACGCCCTGAGGCCCGAATTCCCGGGCGAGGGACTGCGTGATGGCCCTCTGGGCGAACTTTCCCGCCGCGAAGGTGGTGAATTTGGCGGAGCCTCGGATGGAGGCCGTGGCCCCGGTCACAAGAAGACTGGGAGGGTGAGGAGACGACGAGGCAGCATCAAGGAGTTGGGGGAGCGTCTTTTGGGCAAAGTAGAACAAGCCGTTCCTGGCAGCGGTGTTAGCAGATTGCCCAGAAAAGGATTCTCGAGTCTATTACAACAAACGCCATGGCCGGCCAGAACCTCGCGGCCCATCTAGAACAGCATCAACAGCTCCTCGACTTACGCGGCGGTCCCCAAGCTAGTATCCAAATCTTCAACCTTCAACTCCAAAAACGGCTTATACGCGAACCCGGCATTCGCGTTATACACGGCCGCCGCCAACTTGTGCCCCTGGAGGTCCTTCTCAATCTGGGCAAATGCACCGTCTACGGAAGCAGGATCCGAGGCGTCCGCCGTGTATCCATATGCCGAGCCGCCCGCAGCGCGAATCTCCTGCACAATCGGCTCGTAGTTGGCCGATTTGCGGGCGAGGAGGACAACGGGATATGTTTTGGCGAAGCGGAGGGCGACTGAGGCTCCAGTGCCGGAGCCTGCGCCGGCGACGATGGCGTAGAACTTGGACATTTTTGATCCGAGGCGTTTTGGGTAAAAGGGAAAGAAAATAGTTGCTGCTCAGGAATAGCGTCTGCGGCTGTCTCTGGTGTTGAGCATGGTGCTCGGGCTTGAGAACTAGTTATATACCGGTTGATTCCCTGGGTGTATTGCTCAACCGAGTTGGGACTGACGCCATAGTTGATTAGAAAGCAGAGATGAGGAGATGGAGGGTCGACGACTGGCTGTGACCTGCGCGTTGATTCCAAATATATGGAGATTGGGCATTAGGCCATTGATAAATGAATGATGAGATGCGGTAGACATTGTTGAACATGGACGTTTTTTTCTTCTTGGAAATATTCTCGTTTGGGTGACTGAGGGTTAGGGTCGAAAGTGAGCATGCTCAGTCACACAGTCAGTCAGTGTGCAGCTTTCGAGGGGTTGTCGAGAAATGAAGAGCTTTCGTTTTGGCATGTGCTTGAGCCTCGAGGACAATGAGTGGCTTTTAAACCGCAGGGACATTGAAATGCTCAAAATGGTTCATTTCATTGACATTCTCCTCCTTCCTCTTACAGCCCGCCGGTCTTCGACTCTTGCGGCTGCTGGTGAGCGAAAAGCCTGTGTGATTTGGTTAGTGTGACTCTGACGACCTTGCGCCTCTGCGAAAGGAGCTGCCATCCTCGATTGAGGAAGGGCTAAATTAGCAGCAAAAGAAATGAAAATGAAATACAGTTTGGTCGGAAGTGCCAGCTGGCATCTCGGCCTCTTGTGCCGCCAGGCATCTTAAAACTGGGCGCGCTAAGGCAGGATGAAAGCAGCTGGCGCCTGCCAAAAATACCCTATTGGCCCCTGCGCGCGGAAGGTGCCACCAAAGTCTGCTCTATCCGACTCCAACTTCGCTATCACACGCTGCCATCCAACTCTACATGGTTGCGTCTGCATCAACTCCTGGCCTCTAGAGTCTACAGCCTTTGCGGTAAAATGAGCCGATAAAATTTCTACTCAGCTGGAGTGAGACTCGCCTCATCTACGATAAGACTCTTTCTACTCGCAGCCTTGCACCTGGTGTAATGGACGACACAAACTCGGCACTTCGCGTGTCGCTTCAACCGAAGAAACCACCTATTTGGACGAAATATGGCGAGAGATTCAGTGTCAGCAACTCATCCAGCAGTCTTCCTTCGCGCCAAGCAACCATAGAGCACTATTGGAATCGTGAAGCCACGCGTGTCGCTGCACAGAATGAACAGGACGCAGCCAGTGCTGGCCATTCACCATCGCTTGGTCCGAGGATCGCCGTCCTGCTTCCCGTGTCACCCTCACCAAGCAAAGCATACCCTGGCCCCAAACAGGAGCCTGAAAACGAAGTCCCTTTACCCAACCAGCTGGAACTCCCCAAACGAGTCAAGAAAAATGTAAGTCTCCTGTTCCAATCTCCTGGGCAAGACACTGCCCAGTCTAGCGCGACGCCTCCGCCGTCGTCAACTTCAACACCAAGTTCGTACAGTCGCGGGCGACCAAAGGGATGGAAACGTGGCATGTCATACGCCGCCATGCGCGGAAATACTCCCCCAACATGGAAAACAGTTCGCTCTCCTCGGCAATCTCGCACCAAAGCACCACAGCCAGGCTTTGCGCGCAGACCTGGACGGCCGCCGAGACCCCGTTCACCACCCCCAAAGGATCTTTATCATAAAGCTAACCCGCACTTTGTCAACTTTCTATGCGAGTGGGATGGATGCAAAGCCGAGTTGCACAATTTTGATACCTTGCGGAGGCATCTTCACATTGTTCATCAGCAAAACGGCAAGTGGCCATGTAAATGGGCGCATTGCGGATTGGACGCCTGCGCAGATGCTCGACAGTGGCGGTCTCATTTGGAGGATGCTCACCTGACTCCGTTTCGATGGCATGTAGGCGATGGGCCGAGTAACAGCGGTGGAATCCGTGCCGTGCTGCCCGACGATGCACAAGACGAACTTCCAGATTTCCTAATGGGCTCGGATGGGCAACAAGTGACGCCATCTGTCAAGAACCAACAGATAGAGGACTTTGCAACGTGGCGGGGAAATCGCCGAAAACTTAAGGAACTGTTGATCCAACGAGACCAGAATCTACCGGATGAGTCTTCTGAATCATCTGGGGAAACGGACTGACACTGGGAGGCAAATTAAGGAAACCACACATTCAAAGCACACTTCGTTAGCGCACCACATCTCGTGATGGGCCGACAAAATCGGCGTCCAGGTGCAATATGATGTGCAAGACGCCGGCACTTGTGATTCCTGACAAGAAGAGGAGAGAAGGACTCTTGTGGCTCGCTCGAGGCTGACGATGCCCAGGATGTTGACTTGACTTGATACTGTTACAACCCAGAGGTTGCTACAGACCCCAAAGCCACCATTGTGACTTTGCCAAAGTGAGCAGAAGCTTATGACCGCAACCTGCCACATATGATATATTGTACATGGCGCGTTTTCTAATGCGTATCATAGGCCAGGATAGGGGATGATCTGGCGCAGCCGTTGTGTCAGGGTAACAACAAAGCCTGAATGGTGCTATAGAGAAGCTCTATTCCATAGAGAACCGCGGCTGTCTTGTTTCCTATCCCAGTCAACGAGCCAGGGAAGCCGAGGAGTTCAGAATATATATGGTTCCAATGCATTGCGTCAAATGCTGTCTCAGCAGCGTGTTCATATGAGTTCAATGCTGATGACAAATGGGTCACCATAGGTAATCCGAGGCTCGATGACATCCGCTGAGGCAGTCACTGCCTGGGTAGTCAAACTTGAAGTGTCATCAACATACTGGGCTGGCCAGGCTGCCATGGCATCTGACAAGGCTTGCGAGCCTGTGGCACTGCAACGAACTTGTGTAGCGGAGTCCCAGGCAGGCAGGTCCAGGACTAGGCAGTCTAGCGCAGCTCAAAGATGGAGGGCTTGGTTCAGCGGACATGTTTCCGTTGAGACTCATTGCTAAGAACCACTCGGGTTTTATTGAATATCACCAAGCACTCACAGCCAGAGACACTACACTCTGAACATCCCTGAGGCTTCAAGACATGGGAAAGGCAGCCCCAACGACCGATTACGGCCAAGATGGGGCTCGAGTGAGGTGGACAGGCAAATTCAGTTCAGTCGCATCCCGACAGCACAGAGCCGGAATGGACATTTTAGCAGGTCAAGCCGGGGAAGCTTGCCTCCGTTTGGAAGCTCGAAAGTGGTAACTGCAATTGACAAATGGCAGATTGATTGATTGATTGCAAATGCAGACGTGGGGGAAAAAGCGGTCCGATCGGTGGAACGAGGGACAAGACAAGCCCGACGCAATCATCCGCAACGCATGGACTGTTAGGTAGGCAAAGCTCTCAGCTCTGCGCGGAGTAAGACGAAATGGAAAGATTCGCATGACGACAAACCAACCAGACGCCTTGTCCGGTCCAACACCAACACCAATACCAAATACGTTAGCTATTGCTCCTCGATTATGCATATTCGTCGCACTGTTCTACCAAAAGTCGTCTGCTGCTGATGCTTATTGAAAGGCTCCTGTAGGGTTGAAGGTGTGGTTTGGGTGTTATTCCTTGTGGCAATCTTGCCTTGCATAAAAGACGCACCCCAACCAACCAGCAAAGGCCGCGACTCAGCCATTTGGATCCGTCCGCCGAACGCTTGGAACATGGAACGGTTCGATGACGGGATGACACCGGGTCCACAGCCCTAGGTACTCCGTACTTGCCTAGATACCTACTCCGTCCGTTCTGGAGCGCATATGTGGCCAGTCTAGCATCAAGCATTAGGTAAACATGGAAGTGAGAAGGGGCTGGGGGAGAGGGAAGGGGCCAGCGCGTTGCCTGGAGGTTCTTTATTACCAGACAATACATGGGCACTTTACGTTCCGTATTGTACAGTACATTCCTTCGGTGGTAATCGGCCGAGACCAATAGAAGTTTGTTAACTCGATCCTCGTTGCCAGCCAGAAATGTTGAGTCCATGGTCTGGCTTTTGGCTTGACTCTAAGCACTTGGGAGACCCACTGGGCCAGGGCGTCTCAAACACCTCACATTAATTCACTACTAGTACTTCGTAATAGGTAGTAGTCTCCAAGTGGCCTGCGCCGTTCAGGCTGACGATTCACTGGCCAGTGACCAGTGGCCAGTGGCCAGTGCTGAATATTGAAGACTCCATCGACATTGAAGTCTGGACTGCATCTGGTCAACTGGCGTCTTCCAGTGTGGTGTCTCCAGCGGTGTCTCCAGTGGTGTGTGTCCTCAATGCTCAAGCCAAGTCAGGTCCGGTCCCACTTGACGCTCCCCGACTAGACCAGACTGTGAGCACGCTGATCCAGTCAATCCAGCGCGGATTGACCTTAATTTAGCATGTATGTACGGAGTACTAGTGGGTGTGTGTACTACAGCCAATGGCACCGGACAGGGGCGTGATACGGCCGTCTGATGGTTGTGGTGCGGCTGTAGAGCAAGACGCCAGCAGCGGCAGCACATGCGGCAAGCAAAACATCGATTCAATGTTGAGCTCGGATTGAAGGCAGGGTCTGGTCAGTAGTCAGTGGTCAGTGGTCACTGACTCACTGGTGCTTGCTGCGGCAGAGGACCAGTTGACGGGTGCCAGTACTATTGAGTCTGGTATTGACGGCTGCCCCTGCCCACCCGTACGTACATGCATGTGTACCTAGTGTTACTCCGTATTGCTTACCAGATTAACACCACACTTGAATCGTCTTCGCAGCACCGCCGACATGGACCGCTGCCATTGACTGTCTCTCTCCGTCACCACGCACCCACCACCGCCGCCACGACATTCACCTCCCTCTCTGCCTCTCAACTCCCCTCATCTCATCTCGAATTGTCCGTTTCCTTCGCCCATCCCCCCCTGTGCAACACAAAGAAGGCCCTCCACCCCAGCGTCTTTTCTTTGTTCCTCAGCCTGAATTGCGGACAGACCATGGCATCGACTGATTGATTCGGCTCCTTACTAATCGTCCATCGTCCGTCGTCAACCGTCACCCGTCAC